GTTACATTTTCTCTCTTGTTATGTCCATTTTTTTTGCATATCAATAATAAGTCAAATGTACAAGAAACATAATTATTATTTTATTAATGGCTAATTTCAATGATTAAACAATATTAATTATTGCAAAACAAAATAAAATTTTTAAATAGTTATTTTTCTTTGGTTATTGAAACCGTTATAAAGAAAGAACAAATAAAAGTAATTAATTTTTCTGTCACATTCCCTTGATAAACCATTTGTAATTTCCTAAATAGTTGTAACTTCCCACAGTTTTCTTCTTCAATTTTTTTAAATTTTCATTTCTATAATCATTAACTTTTCTGTTAATGAGTGTCAAAAACTATTTAAAATTAAGAAATCTCAAGATAGGATACACTATAACGTAATTCTACTGTAAAAAATAAAATTATTTTAGTATTTTTGTAACGCTAAATATTACTTAAAATTGCTCATTTTGTAATATAGATACTACGTAGAAATAAATTATTTAATGTTAATTAAAATTAATTAATGTTAATTAAAATAAACGAGAAAAAGATTTCCATTATTCAGTTAAAATAACCTCGAGGGAAATTGTCAAGTTTGGCTTTTCCTTTACAGGATAATCCATTAAAAAGGTGATTTCTTTTCACTTCATTAATCCCAAGAAAGAACAGAATGAAATGAGTAGGAAAAAATAAAAAAATAAAATAAAATAAAACTAATAAAAGTGTTCCGTTCAATGAGAGAAGAATCCACGAGAAGCGCACATAAACATAAAGAAAATTACCAATTATCTTTAAGAATTAGGATTAAATTTTTACTCGAAGGAAAATGATCAATCACCAATTTTCAATTTTAATTTTTAAAATTTTTGCTATAATTCTTTGGAAATAGGGAATATCTTTTAAATCAGTGTAGGAGTTAAACAGTAAAATTAACTTTTGAAACAGTGATGAGGGAGAAAAGGTATAAAAAAGAAAGAAGGAAAGAATTTCCTCTGTTTGTCTTGCAACCTTATGTTGACTAAAGAATCTCTCTAATTAAAGAAATCTTTAACATTTGTGGTGCAATTGAGGTCGAATGGGTCTTTGCAAACTTTCGTTCTTTGTTGGTGAGTCGTTGAGTAAATTTGGAAAAGTTTGTTTTTTCATTAATCTTTCTTTGATGAGAATTGCAAAAATGGTTTGTTATAAATTTTATTTTTCGAATTTTTACGTTTAAATATTTTTCTTTATTTTTTTTACTTTTTAAGAATGAATAAATATTTCGGTAATTTTCCCTTTTTTAAATTATTTTTGTTACATTTAACGCATTATAAAAATACTTTAAAATTTAACAATAAAAAAGTAAATAAATCTGTAACAAAAATTAAAAAAACTCGAAATAAACTAATTGTATTTTTATTAAAATTATATTTTAAAAAAATGTCAAATTACCTTTTTCTCTATTGTTATGAACGTGATTGATTATATTTAACTCGAATTTAAATAAAAATCAGTTTCTATTCTGTTACTTAAATGAAAAATGATTTTTTCTTTTTTTTTTTTGTATTTTTCTGCATAATTAAAAATAAACATGAAAATTTTCAAATTGTATATTATAAAAATTAAATCTTTTAAATATAAAATAAAATTTTAAAATTTTATTTTGTAAAATTATTATTATTTGCACTTTAAAATCAATTCAAAAATGAAAATTATATTATAAATAATTAAGAATAATAAATCTTTGAATTTCTTACAAATTATATTAAATGAAATTACTGTGTATTTAATTTGCAATTATAATTTTTAATATAAAAAATATTGCCATTTAAAAAAAACTTTGGTAATTTAACAAATTCATTATAAATATATTTAATATATTAAACAGGTAATTAATTAAACATATTTAAACTAAATTTAAATCTATTGTGGCTAAAAGTCAATTAACCACTTAAATTGATTTCTTTATATACATAATAGTATTTTTATAGTGAATTTACGTTGTTCTAAACTCTGTTTACAATTAAAATTCACGAGTGTAAATAGAACAAAAAACAATACGGTTAACTGATTTTTAGACCATCCTGTATATATATAATTTGCATTTTTAATCTATTTATTTGAAAAGTTACTTTTTATTGATCATAATGTTTTTTGTAAACATTTTATAAAGCATGTTTAATGAAAAAAAAATTAGAGTTAAATTACGTGTTTCGATGATAAATTTTCTTTTGACTTTATTATAAATCATTTGATCCCACTCAGACACTCAATCTCAGGTAAATACAGGTATCCAGAAGGTAAATACAGGTGAACACACTTATTTGTTCTGCATCTTACCTGTATTTACCTCTTTTTTTTCACGTCATAAACAGTAGAAGAGGGGAGTTTCGTGTATAATGCGCACATTTGTACGTTTCTCTCTTTATTTTCTTTTTAATTTATAAAGTTTTAGAAGTAAACAATATGTTTTCGACTTAAAACTATTAGAAAATGTGTAAAATTTTTAACACTACCTCAGAAAATATTTTGTGTAATTTTTTTCTTTGTTTGTTTGTCATCGATCCAAACTGTCATTTTTAAGTAAAAAAGATTTTTTTTTAAATAAATTTTAAAATAGAATAAATGAAAATATATTTTATACAAATAAAGTAAAAATATGGATAAATGTAATCTATATAAAGGAAAATGTTTAATTTAAAAAATGAACTTCAACTAAATGTCAAAAAATGCGAAAGAAAAAAATAATAATAATTAAAATAAGTGAAGTGTTGAAAGAGGGGGGGGAACATTTTTAAATGACATTTTCGAAATGGAATTTTAAAAAAATTCATTTCTCCTTTTAATGATAAAGTTTTCTTTGCCACTTTTATCATTTACAACTTTAAATTGAGGAAGTGAAATTTATAAATCAAAGACGTTAGAAAAGAAAAAAAAATATTCTAAAAGA